ACTTCAGCGAGCCCTCGTAGAGCGAACTTGCTAGAAGCGTACGCTGAGTACCCGTACACACCTACCTGTCCAGCTTGAGAGGAAACGATGGTAATGCAACCTGGTTCTTCCCGCCCTCTCCTCCCTCCTCCTCCTCCCTCTCTTCTCTGTCCTTTGTCTCCTCTCTCTCCTTCACATTCATCTCCACGTTGCTTCAGATATGGCAATGCCGCCTTGATGGTGTGGATGGCACCCAACCAATTCAAACTCATCTGATACTTGAGCGTTTCGATAGATTCCGTCTCGAAAACGCCTGGCCTCGCTGTTCCCGCGTTGCAGACCAGGACATCCAACGGTCCAGAAGCTTCCACGCACTTGCAGATCGCCTCGCTCACCGACTCCCACTCACAGACATTTGCCGACACAGCTTCTATCCTCTGCAAAGGCGGCGGCGATGACGAAGACGAGGAGCAGGAGGAAGCAGAGGACATAGCTGCCTCCTCGATTGCCTGCTTCGCTTTAGCCAGCCGATCGACATCGCGCGCCAAAATCGAAACATGCGCGCCTTCTTTTGCCGCGCACAAGGCGATCGCATGTCCGATACCCGACGAGCCGCCCGTGATCAGCACGTGCTTTCCCGCCAATTTGATGCGCTTGGGCGACAGTGCCGCCGACATCAGCCACGTCAGCGATGGCAGCAACACCACCGCCCCAATGAACGAGTAAGCCCATTCCAGACCCATCCCGACCCTGCCCCCCCACCCCTTTTGCTCTTTTCTAACAAATGACCTACCCTCCGCTGTTCTCCACAGAAAACGGGAAAAGAAATCTTGAAAAATAATTTGAACAATGCACTAAACTATTATATATTCTATAACAACACCTGAAGACTAGGTTTCCATTCGCTGAAGCACGCGACGGGACCGAGCCCAGTCAAATCCGACCGACCGACGGGCCAATCAATCCCAACATCACAACGACCATTACGTTTTCCAATTAACCATTACCCCCGCTCAGCATCATCAGCACCTGAAGCCTCCCCGGCTCAACATCATCAGACAGGGCAGCACCTGACGCCTAGGCGATGACCCGTGAAGCTGCAGAGACAAAAACGTTGTCAAAGGCTTGAACAAGCGAACAGTTCGCAGTCGAACAAGAGCACATAGGCGATGGCCGGCGGGAGCCAAAAAGTCCAGGTGTCTGGAATGAGCGCCAAGGGATTCGCAATCGCCGTGCCAAAGATAGAGCACTGAACAGCGAAATCGATAGAAACTTCAAATCGATCAACAAATTTAGCGGGAAACGAAAAAACAATCAAATGCGCTGATATTCCCGCGCATCGCCGCCTGGGGCCGCATTCCCGCGCATCGCCGCCTGGGGCTGCATGCGCCGTGTAGTTGTAGTTTCGGGCCACGTGTTCCACGAAGAGGTGCAGAAAAGTAGATCAATCACAGTTTTTGGCACCTGTCCACAAACACGTCCACATTCAGACACTTGCTGCAATCCTCTTTGCCAGTGGGATCTCGCCCTTCGACAGTGTGCGGCGGACGTGCGGGGGGCGGAAAATCCAGAAACCTGAACTTGATACCTGTCTCGGCCTTTTGGCTATGAATTGGTTGGGCTCGCCGCACGGTACAGGAAACGGAAAAAAAAACTACTTCGTTTCCTTCACCTCTCGCCGCACAGTGACCACACGAAACCTGTCAGGATAAAGTCGCTAATGCTGTCAGAGTTGGAATTCGCAAGCCTGCGCACGTGCCCCTTTTGTGCCTGCCTGCAAAGAGAGAGAAACTCGCAGGCCCTCGCTATGCGCGGTGGAGGTGCTGTGACGTTTGGACCCCACTGGCCGGCGGCTGGAAAAGTTTTGGCGTGGAAGGGCGATTTGGGACCCCACTGGGCCACCAGGAAGTTTTGTAGAGGTCTACGGACGTTGATTTCAGACTCCACTGCCGTTTCCAAAACATCGCCAGCCATGTTTCTACATGGCTGGCGGCTGGAAAAATTTCTGCCCGCGGCCGGCGCTCTTTTCCAAAACGCCCTCCAACAGCGTAGGGAGGGCAAAGCGCCAGCCGTTGGCGTCGGAGGCTGGCGAGGAGTGGTGCAGTGAACAGGCATCGCGGACATACGTTTGGTCCAGGCCGAGACCGCACGAACGAAGTGCGTGTCGCACGAGAAATCGAAACTGGTCGTTGGTGGTCCTCGGAGGTGGTCCCCCGGCTTTGGTCCCGCTGCATTGCGAAACGCGGGAAGTTGGGAACCCGCAATTCAAATTCCGGTGGTGCATTAACAAGTACTTGGGGCGGAGATGAGGCAGACAGTCCATCGCACTGTTGCGCGTTCCCACCCTTCGTGGTCCGTGGTGGTCTTCTTCGACGTCATGTGGGGTGGAACCGTGGAAGGTCGATCTGCCATGCGATTGCTCCAGAACATTGCTCGTTTCGGCCGTGGGGTTTCAGTCCGCGTGCTGCCACGTCGCACGTTCGTGGTCTGTGGAGTCGCCGTTGGATGCATTTGGATGCCTCTGCTGCGGTTCGAACGCTAAAACAGACTCCTGTGTTCAGCTCGGGACTTGCAGCTGTGCGAGCTTGTTTTGTGGAAGTGGGTGTGCTGACCTGGTGGTTTCTTCGACTGTCCTGTCGTTTGCTCCGAGGGTGGTCCCACGCACACCCGCTTCTACGTCCTTTGTCGTCCGCTCCACGCGATTTCCAGTCAGCAGTGGCGGTCCTCCCTTGTGGAATCCGGTAGTGGAGGTTCGCAGTCCTCCTGCCGAGCGTCAGCACATCAATACAGGGCACGTGGCGATTGGACAGGGCACGGCTCCATCTCCACATTCGGCTTTTGGGGGGTGTCGGTGGTGTTCTGTCATGGATTGTCCTTTCGTTGTCATTGTGGAGAACGGGTGCGGCGTAGGGCGTGCAGGAGGTTTATCACTGTTCGTTGTGGCCCTTGTGGGTGCAACAGTCGTTCTCCTCCTCATCTTCGTAGTAGAGGTGTTGGTGTTGTCCACAGTCATTATGTTCGTTGCCGTTGTGCTTCTGTCTAGGAGTCGTTAGTCGACCCCGGCACAGGTGTGGCGAAAGGTGCCGCCTTTCGTTACCGATTGCCCCTTGTTGAAGCTGGCAGGTGGGCGATGGAGTGCACACATTGGACAGGTGATGTCGACGTCAGATTCGATGGCGGTAATGACATGCACGACGGACAGCTGCATGCACGGTCCCATCAAGGTCAGCCAGTGCAAAGCATCCAATCATTCACCACCATGCATCAGTCCCCATCGGCCATGCAACATCCGTACTACCCCACACGTGGTGCTTCTTCGCCAACGCCCTTTGGTGGAGGGTGTGTTGGGCAGTCTACGGAGGCCATGCCCCCGAGCGTTCTGCGTGGTGGTTCACAGTCATGGGGCATGCGGGCGGACGACAGTTTCGCCGTTCGTGATCATCCTCTGTCTGTCCAACAACAGTTCGTTTTGTACGCAGCGAGGTCATGCGAAATTTGGGCATGTCGTCACGCCCACACATGCCATGCCCATGGGTGGGAGGCATTGGTCTCCCAAATGCAGCCAGGGCACGGGGCATTTGTTCGGCACGCGGTGTTCTCCATCTCCACCAGAGGGTGTTGACACGGATGCCTCTTGGAATCGGCCGAGCACAAGGCCGGGGGACTCACGTGGATTCACCGTACAATGAAGGCACGAGCGACTCCGAAGCAAGCGACGAAGACGGACACGCAGAGCAAGCAAGTGTCGTTCCCATGATGGCAAGTCTGATGGGCGAGCAGGGTGATGTCCACGGGCAGGGTGCCGGAGGTGAAGTGGTCGGCGGTCAACCTGCGAAGGGCCGCCCGCGAGCTCAAAAGAAGTCAAACGTCTCATGGACGTTGGACGAGTGGGTAAAGCTTGCGATTTTGATGGGTGAGGCTGACGCCCTTATGGCGGATGCTAATAGCCAGCACCGATTCAAGCAGAGGAAAGTATGCATAGGTGAATGATAGGATGAAGGACGCTGACTTCAAGCAAAGGACCGGTGAAGACTGCCGCAAGAAGTGGTCGAACATGCTGCAGACGACTAAGCTCATCGTCGAAAAGTGTGAAGCATCTGGACAACCATCCTATTGGGATTTGTCTGTGGAGGAACGAAAGGAAAAGAGTCTCCCGCTTTCTTTTGAGAAGGCTTTGTGGGACGCTATGTAGTTAGTGGCACCTAAATCGACCATCAATGACGTGTGACAATACGCTGGCTTTGGAGAACCTTACGGGAAGTGGAACAGATGCACCATCGGCGGGAGGTTCGGACGGAAGATGCGCGGAGGAGTTAGACAATTCTGCTAAATCGAGGTGGACAGCCAGTGGGAAGGCGAGAAAGGAAGATGCCGGCAGCAGCGTCTCGAATTTGGGTAGAGCCATGGAGGATTCAACTCGATCTTACTACGATGGCCTGGACAAAGCGGCCACCACCCTTGCCAAAGTTATCGCAGATGCGGGCAGTGCGATAGCTGCTCGGATAGGGGACGTGGCCGAAGCAATGCGGGGTGGCAACAATGTTCTAGAGTTGCTAGTGGGGGTTCTCACTCGAAGGGGGGCGAACGGAGGTGACAGTGGCGAAGGTGATCGGTATACGGACCCTTCGTCGAGGTGATTAGTTTTTTTTTTCGTTTGATTTCTTCACGTTTGCGCTCTGATAACTTTGTGCATATGTGTGTGTGTGTATATATATATATACATATATATAAACGTTCGGGGGCCCCCGGGCTGGCCCCCGAACGTTCGGGCGTTCGGGGTCCCATTCGGGGGCCGAACACCTCCAGGTTCGGCCCCCGCCAAAAAATGTTTCGGGGCCTAAAAATAAGTTTTTTTTTTCTGAAATGTTTTTTGTGAGTTCTCTATGATGTAACCTACACGCCTATCAATTTTGAAGTCATTCTACTAAGCCAAAAAAAAAAAAAAAAATCATCAAAGATGGGGGTGTCAAAACGTGCTTGCCCACTCACTATTTTGTTTTTTTTTCACCTTTAACTTTTTGTTTTCATTTTATTTCGGGGCCTAAAAATTTTATTAGTTTTTCAAAAACAATTAATGAGTTATTAATCATGTAAACTATATATCTGTCAATTTTCAGGGCATTTGTCAATGCCAAAAAATAATTAAAAATCGGCAACGATGGCGGTGTCGAAAAGGTGCTCGCACACTCACTCATTTTAATTCTCTTTTTATTTTTTCTAATTTGTATCATCGTGTTTATTTTCTGTATTTGATTTTTAATTCACATTTGGTAAAGAATTTGGATGTAGTGCCTAGGCAAATGTTGTTTAGTTTATTTTTTTCCATAAAATATGTTTTTTTTCGGAATTTTTTGAAAACTTGTTTTTTTTTTTGTTTTTTTTTTTTCGGTCCACGTTTGGCCTGAACGGCCGAACGCCTTCCGAAGGGGTCCCGTACGTTCGGGCGTTTGGGTTCGGGCGTTCGGCCCGTCCAGAACGCCGGCAACCCCCGCCGAACGCGGACCAAAAAAAAAAAAAAAAAAAAAAAAAAAAGTTTTCAAAGGCGGCCGACCTATAGGAGGTGCACGCATATATATATATATATCTACGTATACAGAGAACGTGGCCGAATTGCTTCGACCACATTATCTATATATATATATATATTTATTTATATATATATATATTTATATACAGGGTAATCGGCGTTCGGGACGGTCCGAACGCCCGAACCCGAACGCTCGAACGTATGGGACCCCTTGGGGATGCGTTCGGCCGTTCAGGCCGAACGCGGGCCCAAAAAAAAAAAAAAAAAAAAAAAAGTCATCTAAAAAATCTGAAAAAAATATATAGTATGGAGAAAACTAAGTTAAACAAGATTTGCCTCAGCATTACGTCCGAATTCCTTACCAAATTTGAAATAAAAATAATATATACTCAGAACAAATACTTATAGTAAAAATAAATAAAAATAAAAATAAATAAAAAAAGAATTAAATTTAGTGAGTGCGCGAGCATGTTTTCGACACCGCCATCTTTGGCGATTTTTTTTATTTTTTTTTTCATAGCTAAATGCCCTGAAAATTTACAGATGTGTACTTCACATAATACAAAACCCACTAAAACTTTTTCAAAAAATAATAAAATTGTTTAGACCCCGAACTAAAGTGAAAACAAAAAGTAAAAAGTGAAAAAAAATGTGGGCGAGCACGTTTTGAGACCGCCATCTTTGGCGATTTTTAATTCTTATTTGGGTAAGCCAAATGACTTGAAATATTTTAGGCATGTACCTCACGTCATAGAGAACTTACAAAAAAACTTCAGAAAAAAACAATTATTTTCAGGCCCCGAAATAATTTTTGGCGGGGGCCGAACGCATTCGGGTTCGGGCCCCGTACGGGACCTTGAACGCCCGAACATACGAAGGTCCGCCCGGGGGCCTCCGTACGTACGGGCTGGTAACCTTGTATATATATATATATATATCATCACAAACAGAACTGCCCGGTAAAACCGTAGGCAGAGAGAGAGAAGAGGACAACAAACGAGGGGCTGTGACAAACTGTTTCGTCGGAGTTTCACCGACTCATCAGGAGGCTGAACCCTCAACAGTCTGCAGAATCCCCTCACT